GCAAAGTCGCGAGGCTTCGAAAGTTCGACGGACGAACTTGCTGTTTAGTGCTTTATACTTGGACGATAGTCTCAGAATGCCGTTGCCTCCAAGCCCTTCCAGGTTTCATCTCGCCTTTAATCCCGGGATAAGGGAGAGGAGAGCCTCCCCCGAAAAGAAAAGCGCCCAAAGGAAAGCAACCTCCGCGAATAGCTTCTTCGGCTGTTCTTCGAAGCAGCCCGAGGGGAAGAGGGGGAGGGGGAGGGCTAAGACTTCCGCCCCGTTAGATTCATTGAAATAGTTGAATTAGGTGCAAGGCATTCGCGCGAAACTGAAGAGCAGTTTCAAGTGTACAGGTCGTGTTACATCAATTTGCCTGGCGAATCCACTTCTTCGTTGTCCAAATTGCGCTACTCTCTGTCCAGATATATCAACAAGCTCGATTTAATTAACCGTGCGATCACGCGCGTACAAATGTATTCTCTTTTGGGCGTATTTCAGCCCCGACACGAGTTTGCCGTTGACGCGCCGTTGGCTTTTCGACATTGGCACTAGTCGATATTGGCACAAGTGTGATCGATCAGCGGCAACGCGTCGCCTTATAACTCGGATAGCCGGTCAGCCCTGCCTTGTAATCTCCGCGTAATCTATTTAAGCGCGTTATTTCATGTCGCCGTATCTCGTCGAATCGTTACGAGCTCTATATGCTGGATTTCTGCACAGGGTGTCATACGAAATCCGCGTTCGGCCTCAGGATTGTGCGTCCCGACGAAAGCGTGACCGTTTAATCATTCATTTCCGATTTCCGTGATGCTTTCGAAATTGAAGGTGGGATTACGTTCGCGACAACGATTCGCGATAAAGCGATCCTAATGTTCTTCATGACCTCATCCAAAATTCACAATATTTCGGATGCAAAATATTTCGCGCGCGCTCCAATTACAATATCCCATCACCGCGAGTGTAGCGGCGGAAGAGAAGAGAAGAGAAAGAGAGAGAGAGAGAGAGAGAGAGAGAGAGAGAGAGGGAGAGAGAGGGGGAGAGAGAGAGACGGAAAATTGCGCTTCGGCGTGTTTTGTTATTTTTAACAAAATGTCCCATTGTGTTCAAGACCGAACGCGTGTCGCGAGATTATGCATGTTTGCTGGATGTTATCTTATGGAACACATAGTAGGTGTTTATACCGAGCGTTATGAGAACGTGACGGCGTCTACCCGTGTCAAATGTCACCGTTCATCACGTACAGGATATAAACCCTCGGCGCGCAGCGCTCGTCGTGGCTTTACGAGCTCTCAGCGCGCCGGCCGGCGAGAGCAAAAAACGGAGGGAGAAAAAAGGACGGAAATACGGAAGGATCTGATTTAATTACGAACAATGGCGCCCGTAACAACCGGCGCGAGCGGAGTCGTGCGTCAACGAAGCTTGCGCGATAGATCGTTCGGGAATGCTTCGAGCACAGCAAGCATCGCTGTCATGAGATACGTGCGATTGTTCTAATTTCAGGGCGTTCCGCGTTGCACGGCTTTTTTTTCGCCATTTTTAATTAAAGACTCGTCGCTCGCGACGCGTCCGGCTGGTTTAATTGAAGAGAAGGTTCGTTACGGACATTTCTACAATAAGACATTCTTGGGTAAAGCTGACGTTCGTTGTAACGCTTATTCTGCCGGCTATTTTGCTGATTTGCTGCGTGGTTCGACACTAATAAACGGAGATATCGTTTCGAAATTTTTGAGATTAATTGGATTTTGTCAGTGGACAATTTTACTTTATACTCTGAGAATACGTGAGCAGAGTGTGCTCTGAGGAAAAGTAATGAAGAAATGAGTAGAGTACTTTGAAGGAAAGTAACAAAGAGACAAACGATGCACTTTGAAGGGAGGAGCAAGGAAAAAGGACTCTCGTATAGGATTTTTGATATTGGAAAGCCTGGGACAAAAGGCGTAGCGTGGAAAATCCGACATTACGATCCGTCTAATGATAAATCCAATCATCGGAGCGCCGAGTTCGCGAAGAATGCTACGTGTAAAGTGAATTACGGCATAAATAAGTTGGGAGCAACGTCTCCTGGGGGCCGAGCAGCGTAATCGATACTAAAGTAAAGTACATTTATACCAAGGTTAAGGAACAGCTACACAGCGGGTTGAAGGGTAGAAGTGGGAGGGGCAAAAACTATTGCGAAGTAGATAGCGAACGCTGCGGTGAGAGAGGGTAAGAGAACAAAAGCGGAATGCCGGGACGTAAAACAACGACCACTCGAACCGTCGATTGCTGTTTTCGCTTCGACCGGAAGCCCCGCCCGTTTCATCCCCGAGTTGCCGGAAATCGAAGATTAAACCGAATCGAAGGAACAAAAGATTATTGAATTTCTCCGTCGCTGCTACGTAAAATTCGAAACAGACTCGCCGACAATGCTCGACGTTTCTGCAATCGCGCACGGACATTCCTGCTGATCGCCTCGACGCGACGTTGCGAGGCCACCGCGTGCATCAAACGGATACTTGCAACCAGATTCGCGGAGGGATTAATGTCGTGGAGGGAAAGAATAAGATATTTATACGCGCGAGTTTCCGAGAGTGTCCGCCTTAAATTCTAGATAACTAAAGTCTTATTTATTATTTCTTATATGTGGTGTTTAAACTGTGTGTGTGTGTGTGTGTGTGTATTTTATACAGTTTGCTGAAGAAAATAGGACCGGAACATTTAACGTTGAAAACACGTCGTACCTGCAGTGTTTATGTTTGCCAAGTTATAAATATTATATATGTTCTTTTGTTATATTGTTTCGCATCATGCAAAAGCGGTTTGTTCTCAGACGATTGGTTCTCACTTTCCACATTTATTATGTTATGTTATTGCGATCTTATATTCGTTCCTTTTTTGCAATGGAATTAAGTTGTTGGCAAAATTCCATAAATTTATTCGTTTCATCATACGATGAGATTAGTTTACGGAAATATAATACGCGAAAATTACAACTGTGAGGTAACGATACTCAGACACGGGGATGAAACTCCGAATTTGAAATGCGCACACTCTGCTTCGTGTCGTAACCAGGTTGGATAAAATGTATCGATATCTTTAGAGGGAATCTTTTTCCCGCGAACGACCTTCCAGGCATCAGGAGGCTTTCACTCAGGTTAGATAAGGAAAAGGAAGGAACGCAAAAAATTAATCACGAAGAGGTTAAGGATCCACCCTTTTGCTCCATTTTCACGGTACATTTTTCTCGGATCACGTGTGGGCGTCCCGGAGAATCGACTCGAGTCGGCTCGAGCAACGTGGAATGCAGGCTATTGGTTCGACGCGATTTTTCACCAGACTTCCCGGTGAAAAATGGTGAACACCTTTCGCCGTGTCTCTCGTGGCGGCAATCTCGATGAAAATTTTTTTCCAAGTTGGATCCGACGATTCCCTCACGATCTCAGAGTTATGGCTCGAATGTGCATTTCTGTTAAGTGCCCACCGTGGCGGCTAATTTCCGACTGGAACATCATCGTCTGAATTATATCCAACCATATAGAAGACAGAAAAAAATAGAAAACAGAAGGAAAGAACGCGATGAGCAATTTATTATTCGATTAATGTGCGATTTTAAATGTCGAGTCGGTCAAAATTTTCGATGGATGACGTCACGTTCAAGTAACGCGACGTAACACAAACGACAATGCCGACATAGTCTCGCTGTCGGGACCGATGCAGGCTTATAGATAACGACGGCGATTGGCTAATTCGCCGCAACAGCGTGAAATTGGAGGCTGGAAATTTGCGGCGAACTTTTGCCGCTCATATCAATAGTCATATCGGTCGAGAGAGCTCGCGCAACGAATGTAGAAATTATACTCGCTCGCGGTGAAACACACATTACATTCTACTTGCGCATCAATTTCCATTTCAATTCAATAGCCAGCTCGGGCGATTTTTCAGCCGTTCGGCAACCCTTTCACCGTTCGCCGTTCGGCCGTTCGCTTGCTTGCTCGCGCGTGCGCATGTTGATACGCGTAACGAACTGTGCAAATACGTTTGGCGAGGTTAAAGGTAATTAATGCGGTAGTTCGGTTTTTCGCGCGCACGCACTCACTCGCAGATAAATGGTTAGCTTACAGTGTAAACCGCGGCTTTTTTTTCCAGGTCAAAGAGCTCATTCCGCGTCATCTACGGCATGCTCGAGCACGGTCCTCAAAATAAAAATGACCCCGCGGAAAGTCTTCAGCCGCTCTTCGCCTCGGCTCGGACAGCTACACACGAGTGGCAAACCGTGTTCCTGGCACGACACTTCATCCGCCGGCCTTTCTTCCCTCACGTACGAAACGATGAAAGCTCGCCCGGGATCTGACCCGCTCTAATTCGAGCTAACTCGGCAGCCAGCGAGCGCTTTCTTCATGCGCACGGCCAAGTGAAGACGAATCGAACGCCGAGTAGCTGCACTCGAGATGAGAAGCGCGAGCGCAGGTCTCGATATTCGCTCAGAAATTCAAGAGCACATTCGTTCTCCGCCCGGCTATCTGCATTCGGCCTCTCCATGCCGCTAATTTCACTCCCACAACGAGCGGACGAAGAACTAGCGCGTTTTGCTTAGCCCTCTGAACGTTCTGAACGGTCGTCACGAATGAGCGTTCGGGACGAGTCCAGGTGGCTGCGACGGTCCCTTGGATCGATACGACGTGGATCACGAGTTGAAGTGAGCCCGATGCCTCTAAGTTTTTTATTGGGCTAATTCAATAATCGATGGGCCATTTCTCTCTTCATCTTCACCCTCGGCTCTCCGTCACGAGCGCTTTGTAAGAAACGCGTGCGCGGAAAGTCGAGAGCTCGCTGGGAGATTGAATCCCCATGTTGATCTAAGATCTTCAAAGATTACCTACGTTCTCGTACTACGTTAGACTGACCGAGCGTTATTCAGACTTTGATTTTAGAGACAAGTTCCGCGGACTTTGTCTCGCACGCTTTACCACGTCTTCGCTCGTATCTCGTGACGAATCGTAAAAGAAAAACGTTCAGGCGGTTTTGAAAATGTCACTTACCGATTTCCAGGTACTTTTGATGCACCGGGTCGTACTGCTCCCACGATAAGCTGCGAAATCGGCTCTTCTCCCTGCTGGCCGGCAGGACAGTGTCGTTCCTTCCGTGATGATCGATGATGTTCGGGTTTCTGTAAAATCGAAACGGCGATTCGTCAGGGTTGCTTTCTCAACGGGACGCACGCTCGCGCGTCGTGAAATGACGATAACGGAGTATATGATGACACGTAGCCTCCGCCTGCGCCAGACACGCGTTAATCCGACTATAACGAGCGAGATAACACGTAATACACGCTGCTGAGAACTAATTAATTCGTCGGAATTAACGCGAATGAAACGCGAGTACGGATATCGATAGTTCTCAGTTATCAGGATTCTAAGAGGGGCGAGAGTGGAGCTTTACGCGTTTGTAATGCAACACGCCTGCACGTTGTAAAATCAATCCTGCGCGTCTGAAAATATTAACTTGTTGCACAAGGGCAGATAAAACGCGCCGGCAGTTTGCTGTTTATACGAAGATTTATGTAGATAAACTCGCTTATAAAATAAATATTATTCGGTAAATATTACTTTTGCTAAGTATGATATATACATGTGCCATCTACGTATCTCTTTCTCTCTCTCTCTCCCCCCCCCCCACTCTCTCTCTCTCTCTCTCTCTCATCCTTAATTCATGTGAGCGAGTGATTTCTTCGTCGCTTCAAAGACGAAATGCTGCCTATATAATTAATATCAGCACGGAAGATTTCACTCGCTTTGCGCGAGATTCCATTAGAGTTGACTTTCAATTGTCGCTTAATCGATTTATGCTCGCCCCTTAAAGCGAAATAGCTATACGGACGCGAGGAATCTAAAGTTCGAGTTAATCGCCGATGACGTTCTGGCAATCCCGGGCGAACCTTTTGTTGAAAAGTTCTGCCCAGGAATTAAGCTGTGCCGCGTTTAGATAGAACGATCTTCTCGCGCGAAATGGCTCCTCGCGCAACAAGTACGCGGAAAGGAGTGCCGGGAGAGAGGCGGGCAGGCGGCGAAGAAATTTAATTCGTTCGTTGAAAATCGTTTGAGGGAGCGAGGTTTCGCCGCGGCGGATCATGGCCGGATTCGGATCACGAGCTTCACATAATTCAGTATCGATGCGGGATATGGAGTTCTCGCAAAGTTTGCTCGTTTCCCGGCTCGCACGTTGCGTTACGCCGCGGATAAGACTTGCGGATCACCCCCGGCCACGGTCCCGCCACGGCGCGCCCAGCCGCTGCGGCTGCGACCATGCTCCATGGGGGGGGGGGGGTGACCATGGTTACTTTGGCCGGTAACTGCAAGTAACACACGACCGGGCCGGACCGTTTACATTAACGGTGAATACCGCGAGGGGATCCTTTGAGAAGGTGGGAGAGGACCCAGGTGATGTCCAGCGCTTTTGACCAGCGTTGTTCTGCCCAGGGACATCGGTTGTTGTCGCGGCTCGAACAGAGACGCGGGATAACGTCGATGCGATGAGAAAATATCGCCGCCGCCGGTCTTACCTCGGCACGGCGCGACGCGCGCATGGCTTGTATATTTCAGCGAGGTGATTAATTGACAGCGGCCAAATCGGGGTCGAATATACAATATGGCCGTGGAAAGCTTACTGTTTCCAGGACTTGATAATGTATGTGTGTGTCACTGATAGCGCGCTCGCTCGTTCACTCGCTCGCTCACTCGCTCGCCGGAGCATTATTTGCGTAATTCGTCGGAATTTATGAGCGCGTCGGGATAAATACCGAAATTGCGGATCCTTGATATCGCGATATTCGAGAGCGTATCGTTCGATCGGTCGAATTACACGGATAATTACGAGCAAAGTTGGTCGCAAGCCAGATGTAAATCACGCGCGCGAGGGGACGCGTGAACGCGCGCGGGCTTGCCGCCGAAATGGAAACTCGCCGTGTGAAATAAGGCTGTTATTTTAGTTACGGCGGTATCGCGTCTGTCACGCCGGCGCGGGCTCGGCGCTGAAAAAAACATTTTATTCCGTGGCAAAATAGAGCGCGAGTCGCGCCGAATTTTCGCCGTATATTAAAAGCGACTGAAAACTCTACGGGTATTGCTGTTCCTTCCGCGTGTCTTGCGGCTGGTCGATACTTTCGCGGCGCGCACTTGAATTTTTATCGGTTTGAGGCAGCGGCCCTCGGATGGCCGGATTTATATCGGCGCTTTGAGCTGAATGTGGCGTAGCACAAGATTGTATCTTGTATATTTCATTTTTACTACCGTTTATTTTACGCGAGATCATTCCCGCGATATATTTACAAACGCCCCGTGCCCTTTGGCGTTTAATCCTTGTGTGCGTATATGTGTTTCGCATGCGTGTCTCTCTTTCTAAATATCTCACTTGTTACACAATTCCGCGCGTCCTCTCCACTACGTTTCACATCGTATTTTGTTTGTCGAGCAATTTGCGAGCGATATTATTTAATCTGAGACTTAACGTTAATCTTTGCCCGACATCAAATAGACTTTACTTCGATAAATTGCAATTTTAGTAACTAACATGTTTAATTTATCGCTGATTATGGCGACATGAAATTTTGCCAGTAACCTTGTTTCCGTCTCGTAATATCGCTGATATCTATTAATATATAGAAATGAATGGGTAATTATTCATTCACCGGCGAGCGATGAACAAATTAATTACCATTCTGTCCGTGTATATATTAACGTGCACTCAAATATGATTACAAAATAGTATACTGAGAGCGGTGATAGTTGTATATTCCCAGATTACTGATACACTTCTCATCAGCGTTTAACGTCGATTTGCGATACGATTTAAAACACCATTTTCCACTTGTAGTTTTACACATACGTGCGCTCTTTTTTTCCTGAAACATTTATTTTAAATATTAAGCCGCGAAGCAAGTAACTAGCACGACCGCACATAGTCCTGCGGAAGTTGCGAAACTCGGCCCCATTGAGCTTTTTAATTTCGCGGTATTTTTAATCACGTTGCCTTGAACCTTGCTTTCCGTGCACGTGAAAACTCACCGCGAAAATCCAATAATGAATTTATCAATCTCGCCGAGAATTATGTCGCCTTTGTGTAGTATGTCGAGCTGGGGCAGGACTAAATTTTGAAAAGGAAATCGTTGTCCGGCCAATTAAGCAACTGCGAATTAGCCGAGCAAAAATCTTTTTCTCCTTCTTTCCCCTTCTTTTCTCCCTTCTCTCTCTCTCTCTCTCTCTCTCTCTCTCTCTCTCTCTCTCTCTATCTCTCTATCTCTCTATCTCTCTCTCTCTATCTCCTCTATCTCGATCTATTGAGATTCGCAGAACGACGTGCTATGAGTTTTCTCGTTCAGACGGGACGTTTCTCTCGCACAGCTCGGTTAGGACTAATTAAGGACTACAAGTTCCTGTCCTCCTCGTGTCCTCGCGTACAAAAAACATTGCGAACGAGATTTAAAGAGAGGAATCGACTCTCGTCTCTGTGTGCACATACGTGTGTGACGTGTAACTTCACGAGGCGAAGGAACGCCGTCGCGCGATTAAAAGCGTTTCGCCGGAAATGACAGCGGTGACGAAATAACGGGTGTCCAGTGGCCATAAATCCCGCGGGAATAATCGATAAGGAAGTTTGCACATCGCGCGTCAGACGTGAGGAATCGACGAAACTGAGTTTTTCGATCGCGCGTCGTCCAAAGTTAATACACGTAGAGCACAGCATTCCGCGCACGTATGCGCGCACACGTCCGCCGCGAACGCGCTTACGATGAAATACGCCGTGTGGCAGTCGGATAACATGTAACTATGTAGATTGCGCAACAACGAGAATGACAATAATCTATAATACACCCCCGCAGAGCGTGCACGCTCAGCGGCGTCGTCTCGGCGAGAGAGACAACACTGCTGCGCGACAGCTCGATGAGACGTTATAAACCGCCCTGTGATGACGAATCCTCCAAGCGATTTCCACCTCTCGCGCGTGCGGGTCGCGTTTAACGCTCGTCGAGACAGCATTTCCGCGTGCAAAGTCTGGAGAAACGTTTATTTCGCATCCGAAAATGTCACGACGAAATATTTCATTAAACTCGCTCTGTCGCATCCCTCTCTCTCTCTCTCTCTCTCTCTCTCCTTTGTTGCTGCGGAATATAAAAATTTACAAATTCGAAGTTTGTACATTTCGCGGAAAATGCAAGCACGGCGGAGCGTCGCGGCCGTCGAATCGTTTTTACGAATTCCGGCAGACGCGGGACTCTTAATCGCGAGAATACACTTTTTAATGAATTTGGAGTGAGTCCGCCTTAGCGAGCATTAAAGGCGCGCCCATTGTTTGCGACCTTTCAATTTTCAGCGAATAATATCCCGGTAATTAACTTCTCTAGAACGAAGCTGAGATTAATTAAAAAAATAAAATGGCGTTACTCATTAACAATCTTACGATTTGATTGCCCGAACTGCTTAAGTTTCAACAAATTAAGGTCGAGGCTCCCTGATAAAGCTATTTTTTCTCCCTAACGCTGATTGCATCTTCCACGAGCGTTTAAAGCCGAAGTGGATTTGCGTCGCTTTCAGTTTACATCATTGAGAATTATGATTTTTCGCTGCAGGCATCCTTGACGAAAAATATTACGTCGCGCGTGCGCGCGAGCGCGCGCGTGTCCTTCGATTTTTCTTGTTTCAAGCCGTCATGATTTATGACGTTATAGTCCATACAGTTTGCTATCCTGCTCGTATAAATTCAATGAATTATGTAATGTCGGTTACCCGTTCCTCTGAAAATGCATCGTCGACGATACATAAATTATGAGCAGCGACCATTGTGCGGACGCATAAAATATGCGCGATATCGCTGATGCATTACTGCAAAGAGATCGCGCTAGTCAATACATCATTACGATTTTAATTAAATTATTCTCCAAGTGTACTATTCGCGTCCAACTCGCGAATTAACAACGATTTATCGCGTCTGTCCGACGTGACACGCGATATCACGCATTACGCAGCATCGCGTTTACCCTCTTCCTTTCGTCCGAGCTAGAGAAATCGATGGTCTGAGCGAATCTGAAACGAAACTCGTTCGAAGAATCGCTCAAATCAACATAACGAGGTGCGATTTGTCAGGGAAATCCTATTAATCCTGGATTTCTTGCTC